AAAATATTTTTTTACCCCCCCCCCAGTGTGTAAACCCTGTGGGGATTTTGCCCCCCTTTTTGGGACCCTTTTCCCCCCCCCCCCCCCCCCAAACGGGTAAAAACCCCCCCCCCCCCCCCCCCCCCCGAAATAATTAAGCACCGGAATGTTACCCTCTTTATTGACAGTCACTGTCTCACCAACACGATGCTAAAATCAAAATAATCTGATAATGACCTTTATGTCTCCTCCATCCCAGTGCATCACAAACTTGCATAGTCCCGTTCAAAGCAAAAGAGAATGCAACAAATACTATCGGATGTTCGTGATTTGACCAAACAAGGCCGCGTTTATTATATAAACTCACTATCCTAATAATTTTAACAATAATAACAATGTGGCAAATTGTTGCCTGCATTAAATGTTATGGCCTTAGGGATAAAAATTAAATATGAAATATTAAATAAGACTCCTCATCCTAAAAATAATGATGTGACGAGTCAGCAAAAGTTATCATTTCCAAGCAATTTTGCAAAAATTTCGTTTGTGGGGTTGCAAAGAGGCCCCCACCGACCTTTTTTGAGGTTGCAACCCATGGGGAGAGTGCAATAGCATCTGAAGAACTTATATCTGGTACTCCAAATGGAGTTCTTTCTGCTGACCTGATCTAATAGAGTGAAAATGGCTTCATCATTGAACTGCACATTCTGGAGAAAAAATCTGACATTTCTTCAGTCTCGTATTCGAACCACATTAATAACATATTTTTTAAAGTTATTTTTTAAAACAAGATACAGATAGAACGCTCATTTCAATTGTTATTATTTAAGTCTTTAAGAAAAGTCAAGATTTGATTGTCCTTTATTTCTGGTTCATAAGCCATGAGTGTGTATAGATGAGTCACATTTATACCGACACATCTGTATAGGCCTAAATTTTACAGAAATGCTGAGTAACAGAAATGTAGCGGCTCTGGCTGATTGAGCTGAGGCTCTGACTAGATTGGCTTCAGGGACAATATGTCACTAACTGAGTACAAAGTATCACAAATTGCACAACACGTTAATGCATACTGAAGTTTACACGTATGACAGCATTTTCACCGGTGAATCCAATACATGTACGTAAAGAGAAAGATGGACCTATTTTTGACACCTTTCACACTTATTCCCTACAAACACCAGAGTAAGTGGAGCTCAGGTCAGACTGCCCCTGAAGAAGGCCAGCCCTGAACTTTTTGAACCAATGGACACATCATCATCATCATCATTAAAAATAAAAATACACTGAGAAATAAAATGGCACAGGCGTCTCACGTGCAATAAGCTGCATATAAAATAAAGCTGTCGGTTTACCACAAACCTAGGAGGTCAGACAACAGCTGATGGAATTAAATCAAACTACACTTGCCAATACTCCAGGCACTCTCTAGATACTTAATATTGCGCAACAATTTCATATAATACTGAATAGTAACAGTAATTGTTTATTACTTAGATAAGAAAATGTTCATCCGTGTAGAATGTTATTTCGTCAGTCTTTGCCACTAACGTTACCGACATGTGCGTCATTACCACCCAGTCACTCTGCTATAATTCGAGTGTAGCAGTGCCTGTTTTCAACGGCCATATGTTACCAGCTCTGTTTTCATCGTACTCTTTTTCATCTGAAGCTTTTTGGTAACCGTAGGTAAGATATGATGAAATTAGCTAAGACGTCGCATATTTAATGAAGTAAATGAACCGCAAACCTTCTATTTGCAAAGATACTTTAAACATAAAACCCCAATACTTAAATAATTAAATCAGCTACCATTTCTTTTCCTTATGTCAAGACGACAAAAATCAAACACGTAAAGCATAACGCTGTGTATAATGGTGGATGGACTATTAATATTTGTTAAAATTATTTTAGTAGCAATATATTATTTTCGAATATAATGAACCAGAAAAGCAAACCGTTCTTCTTTTAGTGAATATTTTCATTTACAAATGGGCACCATGTGCCTTCAAGCTACACGTGCCTGTTCTCGTGTGCTAACAGCCGCTGTTTTTTTTTAATTAAAATTTATTCTCCATTTCAGAGTATATACAATTAAAATAAATCATGTTGATAGAAAAAATACCACAATATAAGTTTTTTTCTTCTCTAAATTCATTTAGATGAATGGTGGCCAGGGAGAAATTTACCAGTAGCAACATACTCCAGAACAGTGCTATTATAATGAATACTATTTATGAGGCTGATGAAATGAACTGAATACTATGATACTGCTCACCTTGTGAGCACTTCAAACTGGTGCATATGTATATGAATGTAGTATTAGTACCTTTCGGATTACTGGGGAAATATAATAAACCAAAATGGATTATTTTATTGATAAACCTTATGATAAAATTGATATTTTACAGAAATAAAAATATTGTTACATCAAACTGATTAGACTGCGTTTGGGACCAATGTTGCAGAGTATTACGTCTAAATGAATTCCTTTAGATTTGAAAATTACTAGTGTCTTCTATGCTTGCTCCTAATAGCACTGTATATTTAGCACTACGAGTGTACGTGTACATACAGACACTATTAAGTGGCATTTAATCTTCTTCCTTCCAGATAAGTTCGGTATTAAAGCCTATAAAATTAAATAGCACAAGGTACCTCAGGACTTCACCCGTGCATGCGTGGCAGGTGAATATGGCCAATTAGTATGCTGTCCCAAGCCGGTTCCTCTCCTGGTGCAGTACATACCCAGGTGTAAACGAGAGTTTACTGTAGGAACCTTCAGCCAGAACTATGAGAGAAGCGCTGCCCTCTACCTGAGGTCATGGACGTTTAAACATTGGTTATCACCATAATATATTGAGTCTCACCATATAAATCAGCAATTGCTGCTCCGTAAGATTACGATAGATGGTAATTTACATTAAAAGAAAGTAAAAATACAGACTTTAAAAACATGGACTTGCACGTTTAAAAGGGCAATTTAGGATGAGTGAAATACACACAAACATTTTAATGATTAGTATAATTTATTCGATAATTTCACACTAAAGGTGCTTATCATATGAACCAAATCTCAACTACAGCAATTGGCAAAATAAAAACATAAATGAAAAAATAGGAGTTGATATGAAAATGAATAACTAAAAAAGTAACACAGGATATGAGAAAGCTATAGATGAATAAATATAAATAGTGAAATAGCCACAGTTTTGAAAAAAAAAAAAAAAACGTGATGACTTTGATATACAAATACACCTATGTCCCCAAAGAGAGAGAGAGAGAGAGAGAGAGAGAGAACCAATTTAAATTTTTTTTTATTCTTTTAATCTAAAGCCAAGGGAGAAATAGGCCTACATCATCTACATGTATGTATATATTATTCATATTTGACTTACACTCAATGTCATGCACTCCATATAACAGTTGAAATTCCTGCGGCTTAAAAAAAGAGGAGAGCATACACAAATAGATACATTATTGATACACGAAGCATTTAGACCTCGGATAGAGCCAAAGTATATGTGTTTCGGAGAAGTCAAAATTCAAAAGAAACGATCCTCAAATTCAAAATACCCCAAGACAAGGTCACGATACTATTTGTGCTGTGCAATTTTTCATGAACTTAGCATGTTATTAATATACAGCAATCTGCGTCGTTAACCACTGGTCCTACGCCCATGGCCAGTAAATTTTTATGGCTAGTAGATTTTTCAGAATATGTGAATTAAGTGGCCGGACATGACTATAAGAATCTGAAGCGTAGCTGTCGCCTAATATTTCTGAAAAAAAAAAACTTCAACAAAATCAACGTCTTGTCATTACAAACATTCATGCAGTAATGGAACATGTCCCTGTCTGATTGATGTTTTTATTCGGACCAGTGAATCATGATTTGGACCAGTAGATTATAGGTAAGTAGTGGTCCGAAAGACAATTAAGTTCAAAGTTTATGGCACAAAAGAGACTGAATACAGGCGCTGGAAGATCCTTATTACATATACACTTTGGCAAATAAATAAATAAATATCGTGGAGAGTCGAAAGATAATGAATTCAGTGGGTTATAGCCGATGTATTCAATGTCTAATTGATATACAGGTACTTGATGATCTCTCATTCTAGCTAATACTTAGACAGTCGGAAGATAATGATATCTCTGGGTTTCGGGATATAGCCGTCGACTCCTAGAATTCAAGAAGAAAATAATTAAATTATAATTCGTTCGACATAAACACCAGTGTATGCATAACTTAATATAATTTAAATGATTACTAAAAGATATAGAATGTATGGGTAAAAATACATGCATAAATAAATCCATGGAGTAGCAATTGATTGAATATACAAACAAATAAATGAGGCAAATTCAAATCAGGTAGAACAAATAGATAAAGAAACACATTGCCAATTGTACTAATAACTATTACATATAAACAATGTATCCAAAATTAGCACGGGTGCAAATAAAAAAGAGATAACATTTCGGTTACATACCCACTTGCAATGGGGTGTTCGGTGCCTTAAGAATTTGCCAATACGTTCTTTTAACTGGATCCTCCGATATTCCGTTAACCTCGGTGATGTAGTGACCAAGGGAGGTGTCCTTTGCCTTAAAACTATAGGCAAGATCAATGCAATTATTAATTTACCAGCTTGATCATTGATCACAAAATACTGTTTCGTCGAACGCTACAGTGTTTCGATGCCAATGCATTATTTTTATTTCAATAACGGCCTAATTAACTCATTTCAATTCAATTCAGTTACACGTAATTCCTGTACTAGTGCATGTATTTTGTACGCCATTCATAAGGTCCAAATGTATTACGACCTGTTAAAATTTTGGTACATAATTGTGGAAAATCGCAAAATGGTGTAAAGATTACATTCAAATGAATGGATTTGTATTCTCATTATGCTGTCATTAGCCGAATAAAAAAGTGAATTTTATATAAGAAATTTGAAAATCAAGCAGCCTACCTGAAATTTGATACTCTTTTCTGAAGAATATCCATAGAGACGTACAAGGATGATCCTATTGGAACGTTGACGTGGTAACTCTCTTTTTCATTGTGTCCTTCTATATTAGCAACTGCCTGGATGGTGAATGCTAGTTGTGGGGGGGTTGTAGTCGTACTGGGCGGACCTTGAGTAGTAGTGACAGGGGGTGTGGCCTTCTGACAGATCTTGATGTCCCCCAAATCAGCGTATGATTTGCCAGCAAGGGCGGGGAGAACCTGATTGGCAGCTGTCACTCCTCCAAACGAACCATCCCGTTCTGTTAGAATCAAAAGGTACAAATAAGCTGTGTTTCATGCTACAATTTTAATTTATCCTTACATTCTAACAGAATGTCACAAAAAGTAGATAAAAGAAATTGTCAAATATCAGTTTAATGTTATATAACATATATATTATTCAGGGGCGAAGCCAGAGCTATTTTCTGACAGTCTTCCAAATTATCTTTGTTGATCCATCTTCCATTTTTGACCGTACTTCCGACAGGCAAATAAAATACCCGTAAATGTAAACTCGAAAATCTGACCGTCTCCCGGAAGACCCAGAAGACGGCCTCAATCCGCCCCTGTTTTTACCCCTTATGCATTAAGAAAGTCTTTACTTACGTTGATGGGTCAAGAGGGAGAGTTGAGCTTTCTCCTTGATCTGATTTCGACTGCTTTTATCATCTGCATACAGAGCCTACAATAACAAAAGATTTGAGCATTCAGAGCACAGTACTTGCTAATTTTGTGCATGAGCCCTGACAGAAGAAGGACTTGGGAAAATTCCGTATGATCTGTGATATCCCATCAATTACTATTTGCAATTAGATTAGTTTGTCTTTTACTGGTATTCAAACAACCATCTGGTTTAATATGAACATTGGATTAATGTGAAACATGTCATGACCTCGTCATATATTTTACACTGAATAGTTTTAGCTCTATACCTGAACTGCCAGTCCAGTAGTGTATTGGTTGCCAAATGAACCATCCGGTTTGATATTAGACAGTATATACTGGATCCCAGTGTTGATGGCAGATGTGACGTCAGCGGCCCCTGTCTGGTCTCTCACACAAGACAATGCAGTCACTGATATTGCAGCTTCATCTGGAAACGGAGACAGGAAACGGAAGTGAAATCGCTTGCAGAAAGGGAATAAAAATGGAAAGTGTAAGTGTAATAGAAAACAAAAGATTAAGAAGGTGGTGGATTTGAACATGTAAGCAAATTTATTAATTGAACAAGCAATCATACGACCAATAAGGCATAAAATAAAATAAAAAGACAATCATGCACAAAACGATATTAAATGGAAAAATATATGATAAAAAGAAGATGACATTACCAACTCCAAAAGCATAATTCCCAGCACCATCCACAAGACGTTTGTAGTACGTCTCATTTATAGCACCTGAGTTGCACAGAGCTAATACTGCCCAGCTGTAGGCGAAGTTCTGGTTAAAATAATACTTGGGAAAGTTGTTCATTTGGTTCATGAGAAGTTTTATGAGGTTATTGCCATTAAACTTTGTCGGATTTTGACAGGTAGACACAAGGCCGTTGATGAACTGGCCAAGTTTCCCGCCATACCAAGCGGCCGTGTCAAAACTTGGGTAGCTGCAGAAAAAGTTACGCTTTATTCATTTATCTATTCATTCATTATTTATTAGTACGTGTATGTTATAAAAATTAAAGCAGATACTATATATGGTGAATGTATATATTAAGAAGGCACTCAGAGAACGCATACCTATCCTTGGCAGCTAAATTCGTATTCTCATTAAACGCTTATTTATTATCCAATCAATCAATCAATCATTCAATCAATCATTCAATCAATCAATCAATTCTAATTTGTACTATTTAATTATTGATTAACTATTTTATTAGGTTAATTCTAAGCATTATTAATTATATGAAAATTAGCTAAATAATTAGCCAATAGATTAATTAAACTAAACCACCAAAATATAGCGCAATAAATTCCTCAATTACACTCTGTATAATTTTGGTAACAAGCACACAAATAAATAACTTATAATTAACCAATATTTGATTGATGGCTCATCACAAAAATCTTGTCAGATTTAAATACGTTAGGCCTTTCTGACCTTTTCTAAAAATTTTCATCAATTTCCATCGATGTAACTTTTTGAGTTTGGTTGGTAATTATGGACAAGACATTTATAAAGACAAACGGAGGTAAAACAACCTCCTTGACGAAGCTAACTACCCAGTACAAACTGTTACTGGTCAGATATCAACGTACTGTCTTATAGCTGTCAGGAGAACCAAATTCATTTCTTTGACGCTGGCGACGGTGTCCTGGTTGTTGGGACCATACCAGCCATCTCCGTCAGCTAACTGAAGCGCCGTGATGGCCTCCGCCTCACTTCGCATTCCCCAACCCGACTCGGCGTTTCTGGCCTTTAGCAGCCATTTTATCCCATTCTCTCTCGCCTTGTCAATGACTGGATTGGTAAATATTATCAATATACGATATGCAATGTATGTTCATGTAAAGGAAGAGATCACAGTAAATGTTAACAGTTACTGAGTGGAAATTTGAGCCTTGCATTTTATCAGTAAAAGGAAAATACATTGTCTACTTATGTGTACCAACATTGTTGGTTGGCTAGGGGGGGGGGGGCTTTCCCTTGTTTTTTCACTATACTAATGATGTCAGCTCCGACATCCATATTACTTATTTTGTACGAAACATGATTTTATGTGCCATGCTTGGTATTTTATATGTATAACGTTGAACACAAATGACGTAGACTGAAACGTCTCGGTCTACAACTGAGGCAGATGACAAAAAAAAAAAAAAAAAAAAAAAAAAAAAAAAAATTTCAACAATTAATCAGGTTTTTTTATTTGAACACAAAAATATTCGCTGCCCTTGTTAAATAACGTGGTGACTCTAAAACACAAACGCTGAAAAGACTTTTTAATGATATTTGAAAATATAAAATTTCGCCTAAGCAACCAGGAACACAGTTATCAGAATTAACTTCATCCTCTTGCAAAATGGGGCGCTTTATATATATATATATGATTAAAGTTAAAAAGAGAAATATACATTATAGATTTGCCACCTCGATCTGTATAAAATTGGTATCTATGGTATATCCTCACTTGAAAACAAAGCCAAATATCAATACCCAATGTTTGCACTAGTGCACCTAATAAAATTGATATCTGAACATCACATTTTACTTACCACTTTTACACTGCACAGATACCAAGGTGAATAAAACAGCATAAAAGATCTTCATGGCGTTCTGTTTTTTTTTTTTTTTTTCACGTCGGGTTTTGCCTGCAAATATCTATGCACAAAAGCCTGTACACGTACATAGACCAGTGAATGGTTTCCTTTTATACTTTTTAAATTGGATGTGCAAATGAGGAGTCACCTGATGTGTTACGTATATATTTCAGAGAAGGAAGTGAACTCTGAACTGTGGCTGAAACTGTGTGGATTGAAAGGTTTTCAATTCCTAGGTTTCTTACTGTCCCAGCGATTAATTGATTGTTTGGGTGAACATCCAGTGGTTATTGCTTGATCGCCTTAATGGCTCGCTACATTTTCCGTCTGAGTGTGGAGCATGAACTATAGTGATTCGTGTAGACCATACCCTAGGTTCTAGATTTCGGTAATGCCAGCTCGATCTTGATTTCAAATGTAACCTACATCAGCAACACCGATTCAAGCCACCACTTGCATACTGGGGGCGCGTTAGGAAAATTTTTGCCTGGGACACTTCCATATTTGGCAGTGACATGTCTTGTACTTAATAGCTACGTCCCGTTTTTAGCTGCCTTTCCCGCCTTGAGCTGCCGTCATCTCGTCAGATGACACAAAGAACAAAGAAGCAAAATGGCTGATTCGGAGTTTGAAGTTTGAACTAAGAATACTTGCAGTCGGAAATCAATGCCACATTACAAGCACCTTTCTGCTTTATAAACCTTTAGGGTGTGTAGCCATTGCGTAATTCTTACACTGGTATCTGCCATAGCTGTCAAACTTGACACACAGCAAGCTCGTGGTAGATATAGGGAGCAAGCTAGCTTTTTAGTGCTCTGGCAATCAGGTGGTAGACTATAGATAAAAGTAAATTTATCTCGTAACTCACAAGGTTTGTTGTTGTTCTTTATCAGTCATATGGCTACTGGCTGCGCATAGAAAGGTATTCAGGACAGACCGCAGGCGCTGAGATGACGTCAAGTTTGCAACCATTTTGTAAAATGAAGGCAACTTTCCAGATGTTTAAATAGCTCCTGCACCCACTTCACCAAGAGTTCCCACAGCATTACTTTCAGCTTTAAAGTCAGTATATCTAAAACGAAGAAGTGATATTTTATTTTACCAAATCTGCTTAAAATGAAAAGTAATCCCCCCAGAACATACATGTTTGAAGAAAATAACGAACCCATTTTAAACTATCTGATCTATTCATATTAGTATCATTCATTGTGTGATAATACAATTTTTAACGTTGTCATATGTGCCACAAATTGCATCTCTTATCAAGATGCGTTTATCTTGGTACTCCCTGCTATCGGATAAGTTATTCTCTATACCTAGTGCATTATTTATAGGCGATAAGATTATCGCATTGTTTTCCATTAAAACAACGGGATCCTTTGTCATGATTCTCAATATCTCGATCAGAAGTAGCAACCAAGCTAATTCGGCCGTAACGAATACATTTCTGTGATACAATTGTACTGCAAAGAACAATGCAAAATTCGAATATTAGGCCACTAAAGGGGGGAGTCAGAATTAGATGATATAAAAAGCATAAAATGCATAAAACATGTGACAAGAAAGTAACAGATGCTTTACAAAGGGTCCGGGGCAATCAGTTATATGTAGATTAATGCTGTTTCATCTGAAGCTTTTTGACGGCATTTTGGGAGCCGTTATTTAAAGTATGAGGGAAACATTAAAGTTCGTGCATATTCAACAGAGTGACGATGTGATTCGTTAATTGTCATTTCCTTCTTTTCATTTGCATATAATTGAACTGTTTCACAAGATAACACCGCTATTAAAAGGATTAGTTTCTATTTCCATGCCTGTTACATGTATCATATCCCTTTTGATTTTATCTCACTCGTATTCAGTTTACCTTTTTTCAGCACCCCTTCACACCTTTAAATATTTCCCGGTTAATTTTGTACCGTTTTTTTATTTTACCGTGCACTGCGTCGCACTCACCCTGGTATTACATTCTGTAGCTTCAAATTTCGAGTCTTACTGAATCTCCTTTTAGCAATCTAGGTAATAGCCGTAGTTATCACGTAGACCGGACAAGGGTCATAATTTGACACTGAATTATTGTGACTTTGAAAAAATAGGAGTCTTTTTTTTTGCACCGTATTATCTTGCGATTTTGGCCAACGTTGACAACACGTGTTCATTTTACAGCTTCTCTGAGTTCAATCTGCCGTTTATGATATACAGGATAGATTAGCAAAGTCTATTTTCAATATTTTGCTAAAAATTAAGAGATCAAGCAAAATTCTTTCTGCCCAGAATTTCTTCAACTACCCATTTTTCTTCCCACGTTCCCATAATTTTTTTGCTCTTTTATCATCATGTAACCAGCTGATAACGTCGTGAAAACGATATTTGTTATTTGGATTATTACTTAATAGGCCTATTTTAAATAATCACACGTTACTGCAAGGAAAGACACAACACGTTCGAGCAGGCTGCTCCACGCCTCCAACAGCTCCATACATTTACAAGGGGAAGTGTTAGGCCAAATTGTTGAGTCTTGTAATAATCTTGTTATGGGATCGTATACATGGGGTCGCAAAGCATTTTTTTCTGTGACAAGTTTGAAAAGCTAAACGTGGTGTTCAGCGGCTCCACGCGTTTAAGACTTCTACACCTATAGCAGCTCCATATGTTTAGCAGCCTCACGCGCTTAGCAGGGGAAGTGCTTAGCCAATGTGCTTAGCTTGTGATAGACTTATCATAGAATCATACGCCGGTGAAGCTAAGCACATAGCTAAACGTGTAACACTGCCAACGTGTCTTTTTCTTCTGTGAAACGCTCGAAAAGCTATACATGTTTAGCTTTTACACATATTTCTAAATGCGTATAGGTGCCTAACGTGTGTTGTATGTATTTAAATGCTAAACACTGTTTTTACAGTGTGTATTTAATAACAATAGTGTTCTTCTAGCCAGCAGAAAAAAAATTACATGTGCATGTATGCAGATAAAGTCAAACTCGCTTTACTTCATGCCACCCTCGTAGTCATTATACGTTCCTTCAACAAATAGCACTTTATAAATATAAACCCCCTCTTGTCATTAACGACCATTTGTTTTAGAGAGGATGTTTGAAATCTAACATGTCACAACCTTGTGTATGATTTTCAAAGTCATATAAGTTATCTGTCACCGTGTTAACCTATTTGTGGTCTGGGATATATTCATACATAGCAACATACTGGAGTGATACCGTGGAAAATGCATGCTCTTCTAATATTGTGTACTAATATCACAGTTGATAAGCCGATATGAGTTGGACTGAAAGATGCTGCTACATGTACCTTCACTATGTAGATTCTTTAAAATGCCTTGCAAATGTGACATTCAAATAATGCTGAGAGGTTTAGTAAATCAACATATTTCATTTAAACTCCTACTGTGCATGGCGTTTCAGTATATA